ATGGGCCAAGAGGGAGAACACTGTGATGTGCATTCCAGACGCTTGCTTTGTTCCCCTTTAAGTCAACTTGCAAGTTGCAAAGGTGACTGGAAGATATTGGAAAATTCATTACTAACGTTAACACAGCATCCCAGATACCTGGTTGTTTAAAAAGGGAATGAACTATAAAATACAGCTGGATGTTTGCTGTGAAGGAGTTTTGCCCTGCCGTATGGTAGCCATGACCCGAGCGGTCCCAGAAAGCCTGGTTGGAAGATGTCAGCAACCAACTGGAGCTTCAGAAGGTTAGCTTTCTAGCAAGCATAGAATAATTTAGAGTGACTTGAACTTACTTTATATTTGATTCTGTAATGAAAATTACCCTCACTCTTCCCTATGACCTCCTCAGCAGGAAGTGTAGGAAGCATCGTTCTCATTCTAGGGGTCCTCCTGTCCCTTGCCTTGAGCAAGGACACTGACAAGTGTCCTGTCCTGATAGCACCTCCTTATGGCAGTCAGCTCTGAAATAAAGCCACAAGATTAATCCTCTGAAGGCATAGTAGTGGCTCACTCTGAAAGACAAGAAAGTGCTAATGCTTGGGGAGAAAATCTAATTCCATTTCAGGAGACAATTTGGCAATATTTTTTATTGTTGATCTGAATGTATTAGGAATTTTTGACTTAGAGAGAGGGTAAAAATTTTGCTACCTCATTATCCTTCGCTTTTCTTTGTATCTACCAACATTATCTAATGCTGCCACAATTATAGTATTCCTAAATAGATGAAATTGCATTTAATCATTTGGAGACAGAAAAAATAACCCTGTTATACCTAAGCTTTTAGTGCCCATTTTTTTGTTCTTGGTCTAGAGAAAATATAGACTTTATAAAATTAAAAATTACTAAGCAAAGTTTCTCCATCCAGTTAGAAAATGGGCTTAATAAAGATACATGGGCATTTTATAGCCTGCTTTTAAAGGCTTCTGCTTCAGGGATCTAATTGCATGTAGTAAGTATACTGAAATTACCAGATTGTTCCCCTGGGGCCTGATTTCCAGTGGGTGGAGATCATTACTCAGCAAAAAAGTACCCCGAGTTCTCACTGCCTAAAAGTTCTTCACATCTGAAAACTGCACTGCCCCACATCTGTGTCTTCCGATGAATTTGTACACGGACCTATATCTGCAGCTCCTACTCCCTGGGAATGGTACACTGGTTATCCAGGGAGAAAAAAGAGAACCGGTGAATAAAACAGACTAAAGGGGCAAGAATCTTTCTGGCCGTGTTTTCTAGACTGTGCCCACAGAGAGGAAGTAAGAGTGCATTTTAACATGTCTTCATCTGATGGCCACTGCCCCACGCCCCGGGAGGCTCCACTCTGTGGCACTGGCTTTGGGCGGTTTTCACTCTATCACTTCAGTAACCTTGTGCTAATCAGATGGAGGAGTCACTGCTGGGTTGGTACCGTTATATGGGTCTCATTCACAAGGAGGTCAGGAAGGAGGGCAGCACAAAAAAAGTCTGCAGGATAATATAACATCACTAGGAAGGAATTCTTGGCTATTCTGGAAAGGATGAAAAAACACACTCATACTATGCAGGTGATTTCAAACTATTCTCAAATGTAGCTTCCTGGGATGGGGCAGAGAATGGACGGACACTCAAAAGCAAACCTTTTTATCCACTTTATCAAAGCAGTCTACCAAAGGAGAGACAGATAATAAGCACAGAGGATCAGGAAAGCCACAGAGATCAGTTTCCTAATAAGAATAGAAACTATAATGTATATAAAGCTGCACATATTTGCTCTTACTTGATGATGAAACAAATAGCACTTTGTGACAATTCTCTATCAATATCATCCTCTTTGCACGACTCTCTTCCATGCATGTCATGATACGCTGGCCCTGGTTAATTCTGATTTCTTAGGGCCGGTCTTCCTGCACGTGGCTCTTTCTCCTTAAGCTCAACACAGACTCAGAAGAACCAGAAGCCTATCACCTGACAATCTGAGGAACCCAAAGCAGCAGAATCAAGTAGGAAACAGAGAAAGCCATGACCTTCAAATAAACATGATACACAAACAAGCTTACTGTCTTCTACCAGGGCTCGCAATTCTTGGAACGTCTAAAGGCTAAAAAAGCTGGAGTGAGATGTGTAGGTTGAAAACTAAGGAACCCGATAAAAATGTAATCGATGACTGTGAACATATAAACCCGGGAAACTTAGAGCATTGTCCTTAACACCCTGACAGCAATTCAAAGTCAAAATGTCTAGTATCAAAACAGCGATTTAATTTCTAGATATCAAGGTAGTTCGATGCCTTGGATATCACAAGGGTCCTTTCAGATACTGAGGAGAAAGATTCTAAACATGGACATGATAGAGTTCAGTGAGTG